GTGAACAGTGAACGAAATAGAACCGTGCTCTACTTTTGATGAATTGAATGTGTATCCATGGATGATTCAACCGTAATGCAAAGAGTAACTTCGCAAACAATGTCCATCCGCTGCGAATTAAACACAATTGTTTAAGGTCAACTATAGACACATTTTTTTACGATAAATTATTTATTCTACGACACGCACATATGTAAAAAAAGTCGGGACACGAGGCAGTGTGAGTTATATTATTAATTATTAAGTTACATACTTATAGGTATTTTTTATGCAAAGGTTTCCGAAACATCGGCGGCGTTGCATTTTAAGAGTTTTACGATGAATCAACGCTGCAAATGTTGAACGGGTTAAGCAACGCGTTCCAATTATTTTATTTCACTCTGAATTACACCACTTTGACCGTGTGTTTTGTTAACAAATAATATTTCTAGCATTTCTGATTTCATTTCATTAATCTGGTTAATTATTTGATTCGCGGTGTGACAACAATATTGTATTATATTCAACTATTTCGAAATATTAGGTCTACCGGAAAGTTCTGTCCGTTTTTGAATTGAAATATAACAATTTTCATACGTTTAATAATATTTATTGTAGAACATACTTTCCATCGTTACTTATGACTTCTTGCCAGCGCGATGGCAACTTGTAAATGCCATTTTTAAAAAATGATTTATTTTTAGAGGCGAAGAACTCGACTAGTGCTTGGTTGACATCAGCTTCAGTTTTGAATTTTTTTCCTGTTAAAAGTTTTGCAAAGAGAGAAACAAGTGATAATCGGAGGGTGCTAGGTCTGGGGAGTATGGTGGATGCGACCGAATTTCCCAGCCTAGCTCTGCGATTTTCTGACGTGTCGCCAAAGCAGCATGTGGTCTAGCATTATCTTCGGTAGCCATGTTTTTGGCGTCAACGCGTCTCGCTTAATAATGACATGGGACATCTTTTTTCAGTTTATTTAGGAGAGTACATGCGTGTAAATGCAATGATAAAGTGAGATAGTCGTATTTGTCTCAAATCAACGTGTGCATATGGATTGAAACTTGAAGTCACACTATCGGACAGAACTTTCCGGTAGACCTAATACGTTCACCAAGAAGACGGTCTATACGTTCATTACTTGACAATGCCTTAAAACAGTATGCGGCATTTTTTTAATGACGTTCCCTTTCCGTTTTGTACATTTAGCTTCGAAATAAGCATACTTGGTCATGTTTTGTACATGTACGAACTGAGACTTGATAATGAATCGGTGACTGCGATTTTGTAATATTTAGCCATCATGTTGTCGAAGTGAAACATCGGTGGGTTTGGACAAAGCTAAGTTGTTTGTTTCGCATGGATTTGAAGCTAAATCTTTGGTTCCACATGAATTTGAAGTTAAAGCATGCGTTTCCCAATAATTTAAACCTAAATCATGTGTTTCGCATGAATTTGAAGCTAAACCTTCTATTTCGCATGGATTTGTAGCTTAAGTCCAACATAATGTGGACAAATTTATGTCTAATTGCGCTAAATGTCGACTTTTTAACCTTTCAACTATATTTTCCTCCAACTATTTTTTCATACACTCGGTGTATCGGTTTCAAATGGGACAGTTACGGAGGAATGTTATTGTAAATAATTGTCACAAGAGACCAAAATTTTCTGTCCATATCGATCTTGACCTCGACCTCTGAACCGATTCTTACATCGATCTTCGGACCCTTTCTGAATTTTTTGACGCCGTCATGTGTTGCTATTTCTCGTATTTCGAGTGAGAAATCGTCTGTCCGACTATGACGAAGTGTCCTTAGGGATCTCGAAACGTTTCACGGTACAGTGTTCGACGTCCTCCGGCTTGAGAATCGACGTGGAGGAACCGGAAGAGGCCGAGGAGAGTACCAACTCTTCTTCGAGCACGCCGTCAGCATCCTCGGCCGCCGGCAAGAGACACTGCATGGAAATGCGCGCTGAGAAGCCGGGCTATCTTCGTCAGATAGGTATATAGCAATCGAAACAACGTGGTGTTATGTGTATTTTGATATTTGCCATACTCGGAATATGGGTCATTATATGGTTGGAATATTTGGCCATAGGCGGAAACCCGTTCGATTAAATGCTTCGCATTGCATAGAACCGTGTACCAAGTTCCATCATAATTAGTACAATTAGCCTCTTTTTATACAAGCTCTGTACTTATATGATACTGATTTTTGCGCAAACACGCCTAATTTTCATGAATGGTACATCACTTTTATGACTTTGTCCGTGACATCTTCTCAGTTGAAATCATCGTTCCACGTTTACTTAATAATTTTATATTATATTTATTGAATAATAATAATTTATATCATATTTATTTAATAATATATATATATATATATATAATAATTTATATTATATTTATTTAATAATAATAATAATTTATATTATATTTTTTTAATAATATAGTGACCTACTAGTTGAAAGTGATTGGCTACATATATAATAGTATGATTCGCTAAATACTCACTATCAGTATCTCCGTCTGAATCACTTCCATTTTCCCGAAACTTTCGTTTACGTTGGTTCTCTCGTTTCTTAGTCGCCATTTTCGTCCAAAAACCAAAGAGAGCCAAATTTTTACATGCCGGTAATACATATTCCGTTCGTGAAAACTTAAATTCACAAATTAATAACAATCATAGAATAATAGGATGTGCGTATTAACAGCTACGTAACAATTTTAATTTCACATTTCAATCTGTATACATAACGAATTTAATAGAGGTGACCAATAACATGTTATGGACTTTTTTGTCTTAGCTTTGGGGGCACCTTGAACACCCTTATCATTTCCTTTATCTGCGTTATCGACGGTTCACGAAAAATAGACACGTCAGCATGAAGCGAATATCCTGTATACTTCTTTCAACTACGAGTGCCGAAAATTATTTGGAGGCAATAAGCGTAAGTGTACGGCGCAAATATTTAAATTGTAGTTGAAGAATTGTTTTATACACTTTTTCTTGCAGATGGGTATTTACAACCGAATAATTCATATTCAAATTGGCTGTAAACTGTGGATTGTATTGAATTCAGATGAACAATGTCGTACTTGGAAACAGTATTGGTATGAAAGAAGAAGGATTGAAAGAGATGAGAACATGTAAATTGGAATGTTTAGCGTAAGTTATTTTTATTTGTTTTTATGCATTTTATTTATATCGTCAATTATTCTGCTAGGAATGTATGCTTCATCCCTTACATTTGTTTATTCGATTCCATGAACTGTAGGAACAATTAACGTACCCCCATCCGGCAGCTACCATAAGTATCCGGCATATGCCAGACGCTTCTTTACATCCTCCTTATAATGATATCGATTAACCATTTGAGAGAAGAAAATACGATTGTCACGAACATAGGTCGTATTCGTTTCTTTACGATCTTTCATTGTGCGCGAAACAAAAATACAGCATCCTATTTAAAAGAAATAAAATAACCTTCAAATGACCTTTCAATGACGCATTCTATGTAAACAAAAAAAAACGAAAAATACATTTGACGCTTTTTTCATAAAGTAAACCGTTTACCAATTATTTTAAACGGCACTTATTGATGGACGTCGCATCATTATATCTGGAGCAATAGCATCGTTTATATCTGCTTTCACATCATCTTCATTTGCTTCATTAATTTTCAATTTCTTTTTCGCATAGATAGAAAATGCTTTTTCTTCTTAAAAGCAATTCCAAAGCCAAACGACCATATTTTACACTTATACGCCATTTCTATAGCGACTCGGCAACTTTCAAATCACAAAATCGAGTATTTTTGGTTTTTCTACAATTTGTATCCTTCACAATCACTACTGCTATGGCCAACATTTCAGAATATTTTACTGAGTCGAATAGATAACAGTAAAATATGAAAAAGACGAGCTCATCATCTGAAAGGGAAACTTTATGAGTCTTGAAATTAATAATAGGGTTCCGAGTAGACCGCCGATCTTTAAGCATTTGTAATAAAATATAAGAGCATGGACATATGACTTCCAAGTGATTAAAATTACTAATAGAAAAAATACATTATTATTCAACTGCTGTTTCTCCGATATCTATGATGGAACTTTTTATTTTGCATAAAGATTGGCCGTCCGGTTACGGGGATGTAAGTACTATGAATTACCATCGAAAATCCCTGGAAAGACGGAGTGTACAAACCAGCTAAATCACACCGCACTTCTTTTATACCTCTCACCAATATGAATAGTAATAGTTTTTGCGACTTCACTGGTAAGGCGTACCATAACGAATTGCATCTGTTTTATGGAACATTGATACCTTATTATTTGCTTGTTAGGTACATTACTATATAAGAAAATTTTTATTTAATTATTGACAACTTTAGATTTACCCTTCAATTAAACATTCTAATAATTGCATCAAATGATTTAAAGTTGTGAATAATTGTTCAACTAAAGGTTTTTTTTTAA